AGAGACAGGAAGGTGCTGTTAGTTTCTGTATCTGCAAACTCTCTGCTCTGTGCTTGGGAGGAATTTGCAGTGAAGGGGGAGCAATTGTCAGTGTGCCTTTAAAAAAAAAATTATATCTTGTGTATAAAATGAAGCCGTTATGCAGAGTGTCTGAGAAATCTACATGCTTTTGCAGTGATTTTATTTCTTTTAGGATATTTTCACACACCTTACATACAGGCTGACATAGGTGAAAGCAGACAACAAAAGGCATGGTAAGACTCCACTGACTTCCTTCAGATGGAAGGAGAGAACAGAGGAAAAAGGAGAAAGACAGACCACTTAAAAATAACTCGTCTTTCTCTTTCATCGGGGCTAGGGTGCCATAAATTTACAGCCCCCATTAAAATCAAACATAAACCCTCTTTAAAGACGATTTATAGCGTCCATCCACCAGCCAGACCAACAATTCCACAGCTGTCCTCAACCCCAGGGGTTAACCTCCCTGCTCCAACCCTCTACAATCCCCCCACCACTTCTGACTGGCCTGGCAACCAGGGCCAAGTTGTCACTCACTAGTAAGCTCTCTTACAAAAACCTGAGGTATTTGAAGGCGAAAATGTGTTTTTGGTTTCTGAAACTACAGCAAATTTCACACATTTACACTGCACGCAGTAAGGGTTAAAGTTTACCTGATTAGAACAAGTGACTCAGCTCATTGTATCTTCAAACCACACCAAAGTGATCCACCATTATGATCCGAATTACCAAGAAACCTGAAGAGCGCTTTGGAAAATACAATGGGAGAACATCAGCATCCGGGTCGAGATGATTTGTGGAGCAGCTTAAGGCCGATGCAGCTGCACAACTGATTGAGGCTGATGTCAAAATTCTGGGTCATAATTCACACAACTAAATTATGTTTTCTCAATCATAAATGCCAACGCTGTGCGTATTGAATGTTTAAACTCCAGGTAACCTTTACTCTAAGAAAATCACATCCAAACTCTAAGCTCAGCCTTGTGACTCTCTCTCCCTCTCTCTGAGATCTTTGTATTTGCTAACCAGTCTTGTGAGCTTTTTAGCTTTACTGTGCTTTTTTCCATAATGCAAAGAGACAACTGATGAGCTAACTCCATATACAACTCTCTCATTTCTTGTCTTTACTTTTCCCTTCCCCTGCTTTTTCTCTACTTTCACTCCAAGGGTCTCCATCCTCCTCTCATCTGTCTGCCAGCACCGGATCCCAAGCCTTTCCTCCCACTGTAAAACCAAGAACTAAGTCTGATCTCATTAATTCTGTTTGACATTTCATCCAGCTTATTCTTTTGCTGTGCTCAACGCCGCACTGTCCCACTGCCAAGAAAGGGTCTTGATCGCCCCATGACCTTTTCATTCCTGAAAAAAAATCAGACTTTCATGTTTTTCTCAGCATATCTCAGCACCAGACTTCCCAAACCCAGAAGCTCCCCTGCTGGCTTAGTAATGACACTGTACCTCATTTCCAGTTTGTTTCCATCTCACATGAGATTATTTTATTGCTCTAAACTCCATGTAATGTCAAGGTGTGATGCCAGAGGCTAATACCTGGCTGACAGTGGCTAATTCAGCTTGTGTGGACGCTGACTGCCAGTAAGTTCCCACTGCCCCAGGTCCTTAACCCACAGGGCTCTATGCCATGTCTCGATGGTGTTTCTTGGAGAAACACCAGTCCCTGTGCAGGGTCTGAACTGGCAGAGCACACACATCTGCCAGCCTTTTTGTAATGCAGCCATCTTTTGTAGTTTTCCTTGACATGGGCAACTGCACAACACATGATATAGGATGAGTCCATTAGAGGACGTAGGGTAAGAAGGAGGGGTGCGTGTGCGTGTGTGCGGTTGGTTGGCTGTGTTGTTAAGGGAGCTGTTGTTTCAATATTGTCTATCTCCTGGGAAAGGAACATCACTGCAGTTGTAACCATGGTGCCTGAGTTTGTACTGAGCTGAATGAGAGAGCACGTCAATCACTGCAGGAGACGCAGAGGGAATGAAAGAGGGAGAGAGAGGAAAAATGCTAACAATCCCTGTGTGTGTGTGTGTGTGTGTGTGTGTGTGTGTGTGTGCGCGCACATGTGTGCATGTACTGTATATGCCTAAAAGTGAATATGTGTGTGTGCATCCATGTGTTAACTGACAGAGTGGGTGTTCTCATGCTGAAGCGGTCCACTGTCTCTGACAGACTGGCTCTTTTGCAACCTTTTGAAGGTAACTAACACTGACTCTGACACCACATAGTTTACTACTGTGGGTCTTTCTTCTTTCCTTTTTTCCTCATCTCATCTAATGCATGCGTGAGAAGCTCCAATTGTAATTAAATAAAAGCTTTTTAAGAGCACAGCTGGAAACACCAGTGCACATGGGTGGACTTGAAGCCTGTGATCTGAATGCATCCCTCCAAAAATTCATTAGCTAGTTTTGGAAATCAAACAAAAAGGAGGGGTCAGGCAGAAGTAAGAGCGGCATTTTAAAAAATCAGAGGGATCTTTTATGCTTCAGAATGAAAATGTCATTTATTGACATGTCTGTGCATTGCAGCCTCTGACCTTCATGACTTTACTATAGCTAGGTAGTGTTAGTTTGTTTGAAGATTTATCTGAAGCATAATGAAACAAGGTGCTGGAAGAGTTTGCTCTTGTCAGCTGCTTCACTCCCATGTTGTACATTCTTAAATTTGAATCTGAGAATGTGATTTATAAATAGAGCCAAAGGGCTGCAATACAACAGAAGGATGTGTCCAAATGTGGAGGTCAGACATTGAACTCTGGCAAAAAAGAGAGAAATATATAATACCCAGGGTCACTATTTACTTGACAGCTATGAGTCAGTAAAAGAATTCAAAATGTACACATCATCAGCAACTGCAGTTATTACACAACTACAAATGAAACAAAACATTACCACGTGTGCATTTGTTCACTTCAGTCTTTTTTTCTCCCTCATGTCCAAACCACCCTTTAATCTTATCATACACTATTCACTTTGTCTCTCTCAGATTTGGTGAAATATATGTTTTCATACGCAATTCAAAGTGTTTAACACAATGCATGCAATGTGTGCAGATAGATAAAACATTAAATGTCAATTAAAAGCAATAATTCCATGACAGTACAAGTAGCAACATGTATGAGTAGATATGTAGTACTTTTAGGATAACTGTGGCAGACTTTGGCTTCTCACTGTTCTCAGTATACTCCTTTCAGTCTTCCCAAGACTAACCTCTGAGTAGTTTATACCAAAGGCAGACGTACTGTACTAGGGAGGAGTGATAGCATGCGTCTGCTAAAAGTGTTAAAGAATGGCACAAGACAAATAAAGCCTTGTTCTCTGTGAGGAGCATATGTTGTACAGATGGAGGTGATTCTTCTTTGTTTGCATGGTGGAGAGTTTGGGTTAAGTGATGTACACAGTGCATGGGTGAGGCCTGGCAGAGGAAATAGCCAGGCAGGTGAGTGGAAACCCTGGGGGAGCCTCAGCATCAGGCAGGAGAACTCAAATGTTTTGTACTTTTACATAATTCCCTCTTTTCCCATCTCTGCTGTATTTCTCAGTTTGTCTTTTCATGCATTTTCCAACATTTTGCCTTTACCCTTTTTGTTTGTGTTAACTGGTGAATGTGGCTACAATGGTTTACAACTGTATTTCTTATGCAAATGTTCCATATGTAGTAGCAGTTCTTAACACGTGTAAACATACTTTGTGTAATAGTATTGGAGTTCCTTTTTAATGTATGAAATCAATCCATTAAACTTTGTAGCACCTTTAAATATAGTGAATCCATCTGGACGTACAATTCAGTCCTTTTCCCCATCTTTATCTCCAGTCATTTAATCAGCCCCTGATAAAGAAAACAGCCCAAAACTGTTTCAGTGCGTTCCCCTTGACTGCTCTCATCTCGCTGAGAGCCACTTGTGTTTCACCACCTGAGAAAGAGAAGAGCTAGACCCCTGACCCAGGACATGCACTGCTGGGTTCCTCTGGGCTGAGCTGGTTTCCCCTGTGTAGTCCTGCAACAAACAACAAGTGGGGACTAGGTTCACAGCACCCTGGGGTGACTGAAGGGAAGGAGGTAGGGAGCTGAAATAACATCCAGGGTAACCCAAGAATAGGAGAAGCGGGGGATATCTCATCCCTGTTCCCCAAAGAGCAACCCCAGGAAAGGATGGCTACTAATTTCTTTGAGTGAGCTTTCCCCTTCTTGGCCACAGTAGAGCACTGTAAAAGAATCTGTTAAAAACGTGTACTATCTCAGATTGACTTGAATGTGCATATAGGGTTAGGGTATTTTAAAAGCCTGCTGTTGTCTGATCTTTCAGTTCATGCTAGCTCTGAAAAGCACCTTGAATACATTATGGAAAGATGGTGTCACACCGGACCACATCAAAGTTTCTAGTCTCACATGATAGGTTCCCTCTTGACTGGCACTGCAAAGTCCTCCAAGTCCAAGACTTGTTCTTTCTTTTGTACTCCATCATGTAATCTGTCAAGGGCTTTAAATCCAACATTCAAGTAAATAAATGCCTCAAATGTGGCCTCCAACATTAGAACATTGCCTAAATAGTTTCACAGCCTTTCACCGCCTTTTGTTATATTTGCTTATTTGAAGGTAAGCACCACTTTCAACTCATCACATCTGGCCATGAGCTACATCAAGCCAGAGCCTTAGTTTCTTTTAACTCTTTATCCCTGTTAATACTCACAATATAAACACACATGCGTGCAGACATGCAACCACCCATAAGTACACATGCTAATAATTATACATATCACATTCCTCTATATCTACAGTATATACAAGCCCCATATTGCAGAAGGAGAATACACTTTTCTGTCTTTTTCTTTTCTACTTCTTTCAGTGCCAGTGGCTGGAATGTTGCTTCTCCTTTGTCTTTCTTTCTCTCTTCCCACTTCCTTTCTTTCTTCTCTCGCTGTCTCACTAAGTATCTAACCATGCCGGGTC